TTTTCAGTACAGTATAGTAGTGAAATTTAAAGAAGAGATCATCTTGGTCCTACCATGTACTCTGATGTTTTCCAAGAGGACTGGTTAATGAGTTACATGCAAAAATGTAGTTCCTGAGAGAAAACTTAGTTCAACTGACAGCAGGTAGATGTGATTGCTATGTCATAGATACAACAGAAATTAGGTTAAGTTGAAAACTTTATGAGAAGTCAATTCTGATACTTGTTTTCAGTCAGTTCTTTACATTTTACCAAGAAATTATTAATAAAACTAAATAGAATAGTTGGAGCTCTTCTCAGCTTATTCTATGGCATGCAAATAATGTTAAATTTCCCAGAGAAGTCTTACTTCTCCATTTTCATGGGGTTGCAATAAAACAAATCTTTCCTGGCATAGGTTAAGGAGAATGATAAGCAATGAAACATAGTATTTAGTAAGTATTTACATTATCATCTCTCTTAGTTATGTAATCGATTAATTTGAAAGCCACTGAATGAGAATACAGTATTTTAGGGATGGCAACTCACTCAAGGTCACTCAGTGTGTTAGGCATGGAATGGCATCACTACAGGAATGTTTCCAAGGAATCACACTGTGTGCCTGTATAGGTGTATTTTGTCATATCGGAGTTTCTAAAAGATAATTATTTTTAATTTTGAATTTGAAACACATTGACTATTTTCCAATTTTTAAAGAATATTTTATTTATAAGTCTAAAATAGTAAAAGAGAAAGAAGTAAAACAAAACAAAACCTGTCCTTCCCAACCACTGGCTTGTAGAGTAGCCAGGAAAACTTCTATCACCTCTGCCCAGGCCCTTGCATTTCCTCCCTGACTTCACTGCTACCTCCTCCAATTGTGCTGCTACTCTTTCCTGCTTCTCTCTTCTCACTCTGGAGTTTATGAGGGATAATTTAGGACACTGATCAGGGAGGTGCTTTGTACAGAAGTTAAAAACAAGCTCTGGAGTCAGATTCCCGGAGATTACCTTCTGGTCCTAGCTGTGTGATTTTAGGCAAAGTACTAGTTTGTTTGATTCTTAGTTGTCTTATCTAGGAGATGAATGTGACGGTAGACCACATGAGCATGTACAAGTGGAAACACATTTAGCCTTACAAGGTTTTGTAGAAATAAGTGATACAGCACTTAAAAAATGTAGTATAGTAAATACTCAGTAAGCACAAGCTACTATTTAATTATTTGTATTATTTATGCCAAAAGTCATAAGACAAGCTTGTTTTTTCCATTTTGTCAGTTATGAAATGTGCAATTGTTGAGGAAAAGAAAGATAAACTATTATTTTATGAGATAAAATATTTTGATGAGATGATACCCAACACCTGAATAAAAACTGAAAATGGTATGGTTTCAGTGGGAGAGGCCTGAAACTCAGTCACCTGAAATTCAGACAGACAGACAGACACACACACACACACACAAATCTATAAAATAAATGTAGAAATCTTCAAACATCTTATAGACCAAGTACCAACATATTTTACAGCTTTTCTTTTCCCTTGGCATGTTCCTGGTGTGTTTATGAGTAAGTGTGTGCATGTATATGCATGTGTGTGTGTGTGCACACATGTGCGTGCAGGAAACCAGTACACTGTATTCACTAATCTCTTCTTGGGCACCTCTCTAAACTGTATGCACATTGTAGAACTTTGCACACATTGTTCCCAATGCTCATTTATCATCTAGGCAGAAAAAATTATTAGCCTCAGTTTACATTTTAGGAAACTACAGCACTTGGGAGGCTGAGGCATAAGTATAGGAATTTGATATCGGTTTGGGACACATAGGGATTACCTGTCTCAAAAAGGAAGGGAAAAGAAGGGAAGAGAAGGGGAGAGGAGGGGAGGAAAGCAGAGGAGAGGGAATCAGAGAAGGGAGTGGAAGGAAAAAAAGAGAAGGGGGAAGGAAAGAAGGGAAGAAGAAAGGAAAGATCTGTACATTACTGCACGTTTATTTGTCATAATGTGCCTATGAACAGAGCTGTGCTGGTGAAGTTGGTCATTGCAAGATATAAGTCTGAGCATAAGAGAGCTTTTATGTCATCTTCATTTGGGTTAGTAGTTCTATCAAAAGTAGAAAAGGATTAGCTCTTCGGAGATGCTTTGGTGGCAAGAGAAGTATCACCACACTTAATATGGCTCATAAGGGAATACATCCTGTTGTTCACACAGCAGAAAAAAGTTAACAGATCACCAGCACAGCAGTGGATGCTGAGTGTTGCTCTCAGAATATTTACTCTGTGGGATCGCTATGGACTCCACTGTGATGTGCTGGCTTATTCAGATGCCATTAAAAGCTCCTCTTGACAAGCACGATGATGAACTGCACATTTCCCATCACACAACACATGTTTGGCTGATAGACATCTCTGTTAAGCTGAAGATATATTTTTTTTCCAGCAATCAAATTTACATCCTGCTTTCCAAACCATGAAGCTGCTTAAAGCTCAAACAACTTATTGATGACAAAAGAACACCACCTAAGATTGGGCCATGGGGGTGGGGCAGAATATAGAGCACTCGTTTTTATGAACATAAAACCGCTATGGTTCTCCAAAGAATGAATTATATGTTTGGATCCTAGGACATCTGACTCCATCAAACGAAGGACTCCATCAAATGAAGGATGTTGTGCCTCAAAAATATGCTTTGTTATTCATCTAATTTTATTTGATATATTTCAATGGATGAAATGTGAACAATAAGTGTAATCCTAACTTGGATGTTTATGGTTGGATGTAACTTTGTTCTTGGCTTATTAAAAATTATTGTGTGATCCTTTAAACATTTCATGTAAAACAAAACAAATATATATGCTAATACAATTGATATTTTCAAAATCAGGTGAATATTTTCCATTGCTTTTGTTGCTTCCTTATGGCTTTGGGAATAAATTGCTATGCTCTTCCCACAAAAAAAGTGATGCTGACTTATCAGAAAAATGGAAGGCTTTATATCAGTTATAATTTATGGAAATAAAAGGATGGGCCCTCCAAAAACAAAACTGAATAAACTCAAATTTTAATAGGATCATTGGTTTGGCTCCTAGAGATATTGTTTCATTCTTAGGAGTATTATTTAAAATGTAAATGCACTTGGATATATAAACTTCAAACTTCTATCAACATTAATTTCAGTAAAATATTAATGAGAATTAGTGGACAGCGATCAGAGATAAATTGAAATATGTTTCATGTCCAATGAGACTTGAACTTGACTATGAAAACATTTTTCAAGGAATGCTACTTACCAAGTTTTGAAGTCTCTGGACTCAGAATCTTAACTTTAATAGTGACAGAGGGATTACTCTTTGTAGAAAAAACCTAGCATAACATCTTAAAGTGCTCTCAAATTTGAAGTTGTATGATTATGAGAACTACATATGAAGCTGATATTATAAAATGAAATCTAAGCACATTAGTATCACCTAGGAGCCCAGCAGGGAGTATGTGGTAAGCTCAAGGAACACAACGTAATACAAGGACTAAAGTCAAACTTAAGAGAACCAAGAAATGATAATGAAGTACCCAGAAACATGGAGATCAAAAACAAGAAGGTCTTATTACCCTTGGGCCTAAAGATGCAAGGAGACAATGTGTGTCATTGGAACAGCAAAAGTTACGACAGTGGCGGGGAGGGTGCTCTTTAGATCAAGGAGCAGAACCGTCACCAGACTATGGCCCAGCATGTCCAGCAAGGAGAACCATCATGATCTCTCCTTCTCCTTACTCTTTGACAGTTTATTGGTGCTTCCTATTAACCAAACTCAACTAGAAGCCAATGTGATCTCTGAGGACATTGTCCCTCACCCTACAGGAGAGGGTCGAGAATATTCCTAGAAGGACAGAGAGAGAATAATCAGAACTCAGTCTTACCAGAGCCGTAATTACACAGGCTGTCATTGTCCAGTTGCTCCTCACTGAGGAGCAAATGGGAGCCCTCTGCTACTCTGTTCTTCTGAAGCTGTCATTGTTTAGGATCCCAAGTTCACTTCTTGGCTTTTACCCTACCGTTTTCCTGTACCATTCTGTGCTAGAACATGATGCAGTCCTTAAAGCAAGGCTGTTTCTATTATTTGCAATAATATAGTGGGTTTTTTTTGCAAAATTATCTTTTTTTTTGTTTTTTTTTACTTAGTACTATGCCTTATATAGTTGATTTCAATCAAAGCTTTCTCTATTGATGTCTTCCCTGGTGTCTTGGTTGTATCATCTCCTCCTGATACTGGGGTAGTTCCCATCACCTCTGTCTGCCCAGCTCTCTCTCTACAGTGCCCTGTCCTTCCTCTCCCACTTCAGTCGCAGTTGTCCATCTGCCTTGGCCATGGAAGGGGCTGTTATAGTTTATGTTGATGGATCAGTCACTTTCTGACTGAGATAAAACTTTACAATGTGGAATAACTATTTTTGATGTATGACCAATTTAAACACCTGGTATCTTTTCCCATTCTTTCTTTTATATGGTTCTTTTATATTGATTTAATTTCCTTTTCTCCTGTTTGTTTATAGTGTTATAAGTTGAATGTTGACATGGCACCATGTAATAGATTGTATGTGTGTGTATGTTTGGGGGGTGGTGAGAAGTGTGAAGATGGTCGTATAGGTTAACAGGCGAATTAAAAATTGGAGGAAAGAGGGAGAAAAAAAGTGGAAAGGGAAGGAAAAAGGGTTAAGATGCATTCTGTACATGTACCAACTCCCCACAATGAATGTATTCATTATATATCACAAATATGTACTACTAAAATATTAATAAATTAATAAAAGAAGTTCATGAATTAGTGGCCAGGAAGGCTTGGTTCTGAGACATTTGGAAAATGCAGGGAAGACCCAAGATCTGTCAAAGCATTAAAGAAATGAATATGCTTAATTTTTAAAAAACTGGCTGGTTTTACAGTTTGGAGACCTCTGTCTCTCAGAGATGGTGGCACGATATCTGCATGTTCTATGGTTGTAACTATGCCTCCTATTTTATTCCACTCAGATTCGAAGCCAGAGCAAAGCCTCCGGGTCTGGACTATGTGAGGGGGATGAAGTTGTGTCTATTAATGGCAACCTGTGTGCAGACCTCACCTACCCAGAAGTCATCAAACTCATGGAGAGCATTACAGACTCTCTCCAGATGCTCATCAAAAGGTACAACACATTTGCTGGAATATAAATTTGCTTTGGAAACTAAATGGAAATGATTAAAACCCTACTGTACATATATTCTGTGATTTACTAGGGAACTGGAAGTTCTGTGACGAGGAGGTCAGGGCAGTGGAGCAGAAACACTGCAGTGGCAATTCTGTTCAAGCTTTCTGGTTAATTAAGCATTAACTTGAAAGTGTACATTTTCAACCAATTTATTGAAAATCTTAGGTATTTTAGGCTACTTCCTTAGAAAGCTCTGCATAGTGAGCATAATTTGATACTTCTTTCCAAGGCCAAGACTTTCAGATGAATCAGAATCACTCAGTTATAATTCTCAGATTCACAGATGAGTTTAAAATGTTTAAATGTTAAGCCATTGAGCTGTACAATAATTTTTCATAGAAAGAAAATGTCTAGGAGAAAGAAAATAAAAGCAAACAAAAAAAATGAAAATAAATTTCTACTTACCAAGACCTCCAGTAAACACAGTATTTGAACATGGACAAAAGCTTATGTTTAGAGTAAAAATTTGGGACTATCAAACCAAATCATTTGTGAATTCCATCTCTCCAAATACCCCTATTGTTTAAAAACTGGAGAAAAAACTTTTAAAGATAAAACAAAAGAAAACAACACAGAGGGCAATCACACACACACAACAGCATCAACATTGTTACAGTACAAATCACAGTACAACCCATATTGATTTTTTAACTCAAAGCCCTGACTATTGTTTTATCCAGACAGGAATGTTCTGGCTCTCTGGAGTAGGACCTTCAGGAGTTGTCAGAGAACGTGTCTCACAGAATCTTAAAGCCCTCCAAATTTGGCCTTAACTTTGCAGAAATACTACACAGAGTGTCATCCTTCTGATATTCATTCAGTGTGATTCCATTTCTATTTAAAAATGAATTCATCATTGCCAGAATCATGGAACAATAAAGGAACTCTAACATAGTCTTAGAACCTCTCATCTAAATATGTACTCACTAAGCTCCATGTTTAAGGCCTTAGGATCTCACTTACTTACAAAGCTACTATTTGCCTTTAAAAGGAACCTATCAGAAATGTTACCAAGTTTAGTTCCAGTGTTTGCTGTTATCATGTATAAATCTGTGACTTTGAAGACTTCCATTTTGTAAAAGTTCACTCAGGCCCCAAATGGGTGAAACAACTTTGTCTAATTTCTTGCCCTTGTATTGGCTTTAGCAACTTAATGACTGAGGCATATTTATTCGAACCAGACTCGTGTGGGACACCCAAGGGAAAATTCATGATGGTAGTTTGCAGTTAAATCTTAAGTACGTATTTAATTTCAAAAGTAAGTGGACTAGGTCTCTGCTACCTTAAGTGACTAAAATCATGGTTATGATGGTTTCTTCTAAGTATTTTGACTTTTTTATGAAATAGTTAATTGATGAGATTCAAGACAGAATTCCAAATTAAAATCAGTTCAAAGGAAATCATCAGCATAACCACCAGCACTACTCTTGATATCTGAACTTGTTTCCAGAAATGAAATATTTCTCTCATAACATTGTTGTCTTTCCTGGAAGACAGGAGTTTGACTTCCCTGGATTATCGTCCAGAGATGGCTGGTTATACTGTCCTTAAAAAGCCCTTCAACACAGTCTCCACAATTTTTAATTTTATTAAAATGATAATATCTAAAAAGATAAGTGATTGTATAATTATAATGTATGAATTGTGCAACCTGTAGAGACTGAAAAGAAGGTGATTAAAACTTTAATCTCTCCTCTCATACTTTTATGGCTTTTGTTCATGTTTACAGTAGGTCCCCAACTTGCAAATGAGTTCTGTTCCAGGAGAATGTTTGTAAGTTGGATTCATCACAAGCCAGACAAAATGAGTCTCACGCAACTTTAACACAAATACACAATTTATGTCATTTGCTAGCAGTGCCCTCCACATTGCCACTGCTTTTCCTCTTGCTTCTGGACATCCTGAGTCCACTACTGCACTGTGCAGCAAGCACACAACAGCACAACTGTGACAATGTCCAGCAGACATGTGGGCTACTCCCCCTATCTGATCACATCTAGGAATGTCCCTAAGGCAAAGTCTTATTGTATCAGGTAAAGTTCACAGCTCTGATGTTCATAAATTGGGGACTTACTCTGAACATTTCACTCCAGCTAGCAAGAAATGTTAATTTATCTGACCAATCTGCCTGTGTTCTGCAGAGAATTGAATCCACCCTATTCTCAGCTTCGTAATTGATTGTTAACATAAATCAAAGTGATTTGATCTACTTCCATCCCAAGGCCTTCCTAGACTAAAACTCTAACCTTTTGGTACCCTCAAATGCAGCTTGACAGAGTATATTCATCATTTCCTATAAAAGAATGATCTAATTTGCTGTTGTTATGTTTTAAAACACTGTAGTATAATTTTTTAAAAAATACTACAGTACCAAGGAGCTTTTCAGATTATTTGCATAGTGAAAGCTGCATTGTGTTTATTACTCTGTTTTTTGTTTTGTTTTGCCAAATACAGTCTAAAGCAAAGTTAGGAGTGAATATTTTGATGATTGATTAGAAATTGTACTGTCACAGAAATTCTAAGGTAAACTCCTTTGAGTAGAATAGAAGTAGCAGCTACCCTCTTCCACTGACAATCCCTGCATTAGGTAGGGTACATTTTGAGGGAACAGAAAAGAGGCAAAGATAGCTACTGCTGCTGCTTAAAAAAAAAAAAAAAACTTACAAATGCAAGTAATGAAGGCATCTCCCACAGCTGTTCTGTGAATGACGCTTCTCTTCTAAAAGCATTCAGGGTTTAGACTTTTAAAAAGAATTTATTTAACTCCTAAACTGACACTGCCTTCTCCAAAACCAAAACAGCAAAAAGCCTATGGAGAATGGGTAAGGTCAAACAAAGGACTGTGCTGAACAGCTCTGAGCTTTTAAGCTGAGAGGTAAAGGAACGGTTTGACTTCAGGAATCCTAAAAGGCAAATGCAGCAGGAGACAAGTTCCAATAGGAGAGGGGAAGACATCTCAGATTATAAATACTCTATGACTTAATGATTCATTCAGCATGGAAAGGATTTCTCTTTGCACAAGAGGACTGGGCCAGGGTCCACTTATTAGCAAACACACGCTCACTGGAGCTTAAAAACAGCTTCTATTTCATTCCTTTCAAGAAAGCACAGCCTCTAAAAGGATTACTTGAAGTATCTGTAATTTAAGATTGAGCTGAAGCCTCTGGATATGTTTATGTGACTTTATAATGTCTAGACTAAAACTCAATAAAACCTTGAAGGGTTTTGTCACATTACAGCAAACACAGTTATTTCAGAATATACAAATAATGTCAGAAAAAGGACAACCATGTAATTACAACCTGTGATTTTTTGTTTTGTAAAGTTGAATTAGGATGGATTTCAGTGTCAAAGACTTTTATAAGTACTTTCACTGAGCTTTAAAGAAAAGTTTGTTTGGGATCTCTTTACACAATTCATACAAACATGTTGCAGTTTGTTTTCAAATATTTTGCAATTGACATTAGGGGAAATATTTTTATTGTATCGTGTACTGTATTGGACATCATAGACGTCAGGAAAATTATTTGGCAGGTGCAACGCACTCTGATTTAACTGTCTGGAATTATTTTTCTGTGCACAGACCATCCAGTGACATAAATGAGGCTGTGGTCTCTGAAACTGAAAACACAAACGATGAGCACCTCACATGTGAGGGGTATGTGGAAAGAACCACCCTGCAGATTCGACCAGCCCCAGAGACCCAGTACAGAGAGTTCACCATCACCCCAGCCAAGAGCGGAGCTCCTCTAGCTGAGGACCAAAGAAGTGGCTCCGATTGTGCAGGGAATATAAAAGAAGCAGGCCCGAGCTATCAAACGGTTCCCCAAACGCTCAACTCCCGAGAAGGATCCTTGACAGAAGAGGTCATCTTCAGAGAAAAGGCAGAAGCAGGGCGGCCAGGCGCTGTGGTGGAGCTGCAACTGTCTCTTTCCCAGCAGAGGCACAGGGACACCAGCGACCCTGCTGTGGCTGTCCTGGGAGCTGAAAAGCCTGCATCTCCTGACCCTGACTCAGACCCTAGCTTTCAGCACCAGGGGGCTGTACTCATAAATTCTGCCCCTGCTGATGAGAAGGCAGAGCCTGCTCTGAGGTCCAGCAAGACACTACAAGTCTCCAGCAGCAGAGAGCTGAGAGTGATCCAAGGGAGTGGAGCAGCAGCCGCGGGGCTGCCTCGGGTGGAAGTGATCCTCGACTGCTCTGACAAGCAGAAGACTGAAGGGTGCAGGCTTCAGGCAGGCAAGGGGTGTGTGGCTGCTCCAGGGGAAGGAGGGCAGTCCGAAGCACCTCCTTCTCTGGTCTCCTTTGCCGTCTCATCAGAAGGCACAGAGCAGGGGGAAGATCCACGCTGGGAAAAGGATCACAGCAGACCACACAGGCACAGAGCGCGGCACGCACGTAAGTCCTGCCCTGGGCCGGTGCCTGGCTGTCAAGGCTTGGGGGCTTAGGGTATTTTGCTGCAGCTTTGCCCGTATGGACTTTTTTAGAAAAGATTTTTCTTCTGACTTTTATTAACTTTAAAAAATATTTAATTAATGCAAAACCAAAAAGCCAAACATGAAATTGTGAAGAATATTAGATTCTGATTGGGAAGCAATAAGTCTGAACTTCATAGTAAATTTAAAGATTTTTTTTTCTTCATGAACTTCTTTTCATACCCCAAGGTATAGGGACGTTAAAGAAAATAATAGGGTCAATGTGCCTTTTTCTTTCAGAATATGGTAATGTTTCACATTTAAATTTGGTAAGAGGTCATGTAGATGCTGAGATTAAATGTAAAAAAGCGGTTCCGTCTGCTGCTGAGAGTGCCTTTAAAATACAGGCTCCACCACTGATATTAAAAGCAGATTCTTGTTTTGAAAAAAACTCGCTTTGCAGCTTGATGATGCTTGCAGAAGTGAGCTTGACGGACAAGGGCATGTGTGATGCGAGCAGTTACACGATCCCCGCTGTTGTAAATGTCTTCACTAGACGGCAGGGCGTTTCGTCCACCTTCTAGACACAGAAGCCAGGCCATGTGCAGGCTTTGAGATGTCCCTGTCCCCAAACATATGCTGTACTTGAATTCGAGGCTTTTTATGGTAATATTTTGTTTTAGCCAGGGCAGTGAGGACAGAAAGGAAATGAGAATAGGAATTGAAGTTGGGTATTAGGATTTTTGTTTTTTTATTTCATGTCTATGTGTATTTTTTATTTCAAATTTTGGAATTCCATTTGATGATGTAAATGCTGACTGGCAAAGGCTCTTGATTGTATGAATGATGCAGCCCAGCAATGAACTTGGTTATTCACGGTAACAGTGTATTAACTCTTCCAGTTCACTGCTGTCCTTCCAAATCATATTTTTAGAATACCCATTTGTAGCTTTATTGGCAAGTGCTGTTAGTCATTCCTTATATTTTAAGCATTGTATACCATCCTCACACTTACAGCATAGTGAACATGAGTAAACAGCACTCACATACTTCGTGTTGCCAATGGAGCTAGCAACAACCGGGAAACTGTGACTTTCAATTTAGCAATAAGTTGTACCACTCTAAGCCAGAGAAGGAATCACACTTAGTAATGGCCATGCTTTCACTTTTTTTTTTTTTTTTACACAAAATGAGTATCTGTAACTTTGTTAGAAGATTATCTCCTCTGATTATATTCAATTTTTAAAATATTAAACAATACATCTTTTTTGGACAAAAAGCTAATTTTCAATCATAAAATACTCACTTTTTCCTGAAATTTCTGTTTAACTATCTCAAGGAACAGAAACACTCTAAATCAGGTTCATTACTAAAAACATGATTATGATTAACTAAGGTTATAAGTTAATTCACCACCAATTTATTTTTCATAACAAAAGGAAAAATTTAAATATAAGCTTTTATTGTTTTATCTCTGTCAAGCTCTTGTTTTATATTTAAAATTGCTAAATACTACATTAGTTTTTATCCCAGATAATCCCAGTTATCCCAGTTAAAAGGATCACGAGTCACATAATTTTAAAATTTCCACAAGATTTACATATTCTTACTGAAATTAAAGTGGTATATTTCTAAAACAGCAATATACTTAGAAACAAATTTTTCTAGTTAACTTTGTAGATAGCGCCTCTAACATGTATTCACAATGATATAGTATTCTGAAGTAGGACTAATTATTAATTCAGTGATTTGAATTTATATTAAATCCATTGCTGTAAATGGAAACATTTTGGGTGGTTGTTGAAATAAATAAATAAATAAATAAATAAATAACCCTAAATACCTACATTAAGACATATACATTTTTAAAAAAATTTTACTGGGACACATTCCTGTTTTATAAGATGATGAGAAACAGTTTAATGGTCACATTTTATTTTTTAAATATAGAGGTAGAAAATACATCTTGTTTTTCTGAAAATATTATGTTCCTAATTATATACTATTAACTGGCATTTCCCAATCAGTTGTTATTGTTACAAGGTAAGAATCTATAGAGCAACAAGTGTCTAAAATGTTGTAATGTGTATATATAAAAATGTATTTACATGAACAAATGGAGAAGGGCATGGTACAGTGTTATGTGTGTCGTGTATTATTATAGGAGCATAAATTTTAAAGGAAATAAAGGAATAAAGAAGAAAAAGCAGCAGTAGCCAGGCAGAATTACAGCCCCATGCCCATAGTGCCTGCACCACTGTAGCCCAGTGGTAGAGGGTGTGCTTAACATGCAGGAAGCACCAGGTTTGACCCCCCCAACACCGAAAAACAAAAAAAGAAAAGAAAAGAAAATTAATTAAATTCCTTCGAATTTTGATACCCAGGTATAAGAATTTTTTAAATATTCTTTTTCTCCAGAAGGAGGCAATTTCAGGGTTGCTGTGGAGTCCTCCTTGAATTCATTAACTCATTACAACTTTTGTACTTTCCTAGGGCTCAGGAGGAGCGAGAGCCTGTCAGAAAAGCAGGTGAAAGAAGCAAAATCTAAATGCAAAAGCATTGCCCTCCTTCTCACCGATGCCCCCAACCCCAACTCCAAGGGGGTGTTGATGTTTAAGAAGCGCCGGCGGAGGGCCAGGAAGTACACCCTCGTCAGCTACGGTACTGGTGAGCTCGAACGAGAGGCAGACGAGGAGGAGGAGGAAGGCGACAAAGAGGATACATGTGAAGTGGCATTTCTTGGCACAAGTGAGTCAGAAGTGGATGAAGAGTTGCTGTCTGACGCGGACGACAACGCCCAAGTAGTGAACTTTGACTGGGATTCTGGACTGGTGGACATTGAGAGGAAACTGAGCAGAGAGGACAAGATGGAGATGTTGCCAGACACCACAGGAAAAGGAGCCCTCATGTTTGCCAAGAGGAGGGAGAGGATGGATCAGATCACAGCCCAGAAAGAAGAGGAGAGGGTGCTTGGAATGCCAGGCAGAGAAGCAGACCTTGCCCAGACCGATGGCCTGAGAACCACGACTTCTTACCAAAGGAAGGAAGAGGAATCGGTGAGAACGCAGACCAGTGTGAGCAGAAGCTACATCCAGATGGGTCACAGTGCTGGCCAGGTGCCCCAGCAGAATGGCTTCAGTGGAGGGTCCGAGGCAGCAGAGGCCCAGAGGCCGATCCCTATGAACAGAACAGCCAAGCCCTTCCCCGGGTCTGCAAACCAGCCAGCCCCTCCCTTCTCCCCGACCCACAACATCCCAAGCCCCATCTCTGACTTCCCTGCTCCTCCACCATATTCTGCGGTCACTCCTCCGCCCGAAGCCTTCTCCAGAGGGGTATCGAGTCCCATCGCTGGCCCAGCACAGCCCCCTCCGTGGCCGCAGCCTGCTCCCTGGTCCCAGCCAGCCTTTTACGATGCATCTGAGAGGATAGCATCCCGGGATGAGAGGATTGCAGTGCCAGCAAAAAGAACGGGGATTCTGCAGGAAGCTAAAAGGAGAAGCACCACGAAACCCATGTTCACATTTAAGGAGCCCAAAGTAAGCCCAAATCCTGAACTCTTGTCACTTCTTCAAAATTCAGAAGGCAAACGGGGCACTGGAGCTGGTGGCGACTCCGGACCTGAAGAAGACTACCTCAGTTTAGGAGCAGAGGCTTGTAATTTCATGCAAAGTTCCTCTGCTAAGCAAAAGACCCCACCTCCTGTTGCTCCAAAACCTGCAGTCAAGTCCTCATCCTCCCAACCAGTTGCCCCAGTTTCTCCAGTCTGGTCTCCAGGAGTGGCTGCCACCCAACCTCCTGTCTTTCCTGTATCAAACCCATCACAGGGCACGGTGGTGTCCTCCATCAAAATAGCCCAACCTTCTTGCCCTCCTGCCCGGCCTGCAAGCGCACTGAACCTGTCTGGTACCTTCAAAGGACACCAAGCAGCAGTAGCCAGTCAGAATTACAGCCCCAAGCCAACAGCGCCCGCACCAGCAGTGAATGCCACTCACACTGGAGCAATGGGACCATCCAATGAGCTTCCCGGAATGAGCGGGAAAGGAGCCCAGCTCTTTGCGAAGAGGCAGTCGAGAATGGAGAAGTATGTGGTGGATTCCGACACTGTCCAGGCCCACGCTGCCCGTGCTCAGTCTCCCACTCCATCCCTACCGGCCAGCTGGAAATATTCCTCCAATGTCCGAGCACCTCCTCCTGTGGCCTACAATCCCATCCACTCTCCCTCCTACCCACTGGCTGCTGTCAAGTCTCAGTCATCAGGCCCACAAGCCTCCAAAGTGAGCAAGAAAAAGGGCAAGAAACCCCTCAACACTTTGGATGTCATGAAGCACCAGCCGTATCAGCTCAATGCATCCCTGTTTACTTTCCAACCTCCAGATGCAAAGGATGGCCTCCCCCCCAAGTCAGCAGTCAAGGTCAGTTCAGCCCCAGCGGTGAAACAAGCTCTTCCTTCCCGGCCAGTGAATGCCACCTCACCCACGAATGTGCAGGCTTCGTCTGTGTACTCGGTGCCGGCCTACACCTCTCAGCCCACCTTCTTTGCAGAGGCCACCTCCCCTGTCAGCGCATCTCCCGTGCCTGTGAGCGTTCCCACCTCTCCAAAGCAAAAGCCTGCCTCGTCATCTTATTTTGTGGCACCAAGGCCGAAGTTCTCAGCCAAGAAAAGTGGTATCACAATCCAGGTGTGGAAACCATCTGTGGTGGAAGAGTAATCTTGTAGCTGCAACCGAGTGTCCACTTTGCTTGAAATGAATTGTTTGCAGTGTCACTTGAGTCCCTGAGAATGCCTAGCAAATCCTCAACTTACTTAATTTCAGATGTGTCACTTCCCAATCTGGGTCCAAGGAGCACAGTATTTTTAATGAGTCAAAAGTCCAGCTCAGATTGACTTAAAACATATTTATCTTCTTTGCACACTTAAAAAATCTGGGAGTATCCCAAAATAGACATGTGCCATTACGTTAAGTAAGCAGGATACTTAGGATTTAGGCTTTAGCCACAAGAAAGACAGTGATTAGTGTTTTCAGACATTAGGACACAGCATTTATGTAATGTAACAGCTGTGCTTCCATGGCGAAAAGTTCAAATGCAGTGGAAATATAACATGGACTGACTGAGATTTCACTTTTAAATCATGCTTTATCTCTATTACTAGTGTTAAGGGAATAAGAAATCTAGAGAGGGCAGGATCAACTCTGGTCTGCCAACCACAGGCAACTGTTGACATCACAGAGAAGGTTTTACTGGGGATTGTTGGTGTAGTAAGCAGTGGATAAGAAAGAGACTCTTAATAATTATGAGCACTTATTATGTTAGATTTTTTTTTGGCCAGATATTCTTACATTTCAGAAGACATATTTAAAGTAAATAGGATATGCAAGAAGGATAATGATGCTTAGAGATAATGATCCCATCCTCTCTGGGGAACTTAAGGGAATAAGTATTTTACATCTCCTTTGCCCATGAAAGCATAAATTTGTTTTCTTCAGCTGAGGCAAGGGGTAGAGTACGGAATAATGAAACAACATGTGAGTGGAGGATGTGGATGCGCACAAAGGTACACAGGGCTGTTGTTTTCCCTTTGGAAACCACACCGCTGGGACCTGAAGGGTTACTGACTGCAGGAGCTGATGGTGAAGCGAGAGGAACCCCTTGTGCAAGAGACTGTAGGGTGAGAACACAAAAGTATTAACATCCTGTCTGAATGACCTCACAGATCTTCTTCCTGTGTTCGTTTTGCTTTTTGAGACGTGCTTCTTCCACTGTTCCTTGCAATATTATTCTTGCACCTTTACTTTATTATTTATATTTGATGGACCAGGATAATTCAGGCAAGGTAACCTTGCAAATTTGGACTGGTCACACACCATGTCATCATCCAGCTGGCTATGAAGTTAATAATGTTACTGAAAGTAAACCTGAAGACCTTTCTCATATCTATTTTAAGTCTGAGTGTGACCAACCATGGAAAATATTCAACATGAATTAATGTAGAGAACTACAAAGCATTTATGACAGCTTCAAGGAGAACCATCTACACTTTGCAGGAGATATGTTTAGAGGCGTCCTAGAAAAACTCTCCTGGTTTGAGGGTACACAGTGTCATTTTAATCCTCTGAAAATATCTGTATTCTTGTTCTTTCTTTGCTGTCACTGTTGATCTGCTATGTTTTTCTCTATCCTATTAAAGTATTACTTTCTTCTTTATCTGTTCATTGTGCATACTTTTTTTTACAAATCTTTATATGAGCTATTCTCATCTAAATCACTTCTCGTATTTCCCTTATAACATCAGAATTTTCTTTCTGTAAGCATCAATTTCTCCATACATTGTAAAACTGCAAGCTTAGATATGTGAAACATAGCATAAAAAGAGGAGAGTTAAGTCAGTTGCAAAAGTAGTGGGGCTGATTCTTCTGCTTTTTCTCTGTAAAATCTTCTGCTGGCTTTGGTGGCAATGCTACTGCGAGATATAGCCTGGTCTCTTACTTGCCTTTTTGGGAAATCAATTTGGAAGATTAATGCAGAACAAAAGAAAAAGCAATCTATCCCTTATATAACACAGCTGTTTGTATTACTTGTTTCCTGCAAAGGAAGTCTGTTGAATGTGGTACATTTTGCATTGTTTTCTCATAGAACAGTCAAAAAAGGCAATGTAGGAAAGGAGATCATTTTTATAACTGCATTCTTAGCATAGTCCTAAAAGAATGGCATAGATTAGAGAACGGACATGGAACACACAGGTAGTCAGTTTGAGCACATGGGCCCCAAAGTATTCTAGGATGGTAAATGAGCCAGGAGTAGTCCCAGTTGTCCAGTGGTTTGTGGTATGTAAGAATGAGAAGAGTTTTCAGTCCATTTCCTGTTGGACAGATGGCAATCTTAGCAGAGCCACTATTTGGAGTTGATGACTAAAGACAACTAACATGACTATATCTTCTTGTCATCTGGGGGCTGTTAGGGATTCACACAAAGCTTCTAAGACTGTCAGGCATGCAGTCAAAGCAGCTACCATGCTGACCAGGAGTTGATAATAGACGTCACATCTTAGAACATACAGTCCCATAGAAGAAAGTGGAAATTTTGCAAAACAGTATCCACAACAGGGACTCTGACCTCCTCCCAAGGTCTACGGAAATGAGAGAAAGAAGGACAAAGCCATCTCCCTGAAAGAGAGATTCCTTTCCCTCTTCTCCTGACTAGGGAGCTGTGTGGCCATCGTCAGGCTGGGGTTGTGGAAGTAACATCAGTGAGAGAAGAGCCTCCCTTCCACCGGGCCCACTTTACAGTCTGAGTCATGCTGGTTTTGCTGAGGTGGCAATTGTTTGATTGGTTAGTTGGTTGGTTGTGGGGTTGCAGGAGCAGTTTTGTGTAGTTTTTAGCACTTTTCCTTTTCCCTTGTTGTTTGGTAGCTTCAGTCCTAGTCAGAGCCCCCATAAAGTCAGTTTCCATTGTCAGCACTGCAGCAGCAATCAGTGCCTGAGTAACTATGTTATAGCAGGTGCCTCAGTCCCTCATCCTCAGGCATCTGTGCCTGGTTTATAGGGGTACAGCATAAATTAAAAGGTGATCAGTCACTGAAGTATGGACAGGCTTTACACCAGCTCCCCTTTGTAGCATCTCAAAGCTCTCTTCCTGGCAGAAATGTTGTGCTCTAGTGAGCTGGCCCAGTCCTGAGGACTGTGGGCAGAAGAAAGTGCCATGTATATAAGCACAGCATGATCTCTCAGTCATATCAGAGGGCAGATTGAATCACAAAACTGGTGAGATTGGAGATCTGAGTGTTGCCACTTTGCTTTTAGAACGTTTACTATTTCACCACCAATATTTCAATAGTAGGCACATTTTGAGAGAGGAGAAGACACACGGTTTCTGGATTTAGACAGTCCATTGATAATGTAAAGGGAACATTTTTCAGACTATGTTTTATAACATTAGGTGGTCATTCTAGAACATGTAAAACTTTGTACTTGAAAATATAACTAGTATGATTGCTAATGATCATGTGTATCAACTGTTTCATTTTACATGAAGTGTCTCATTTAATCTTCACAAGAAATAACTCATTTTAGCCACAGGAAAGCCAATTCAGATTACATATAATTCCTTAACATAAGTCTAGGTCATTTAACTATTCTATACAGTGCCACCTTCTTTCACTGTGGGACAGCTAAGAATTGTCCCACAGCTAGCATTCTAGCACAAGAATCACATCTGAAATGTCAGCAACAGATGATCCCCACTTGAAGGGGATGGATTGGCACATGTGGGACTGCTTTGCTATTTGCCATCACTGGGCTAAGGGACAGTGAAAGCTATTTGCCACTGTGAGCACGTGAGACACTCTGACCATGTGGCTCTGTCAGTGATGCCACTCAGAGCAGGCGACCCTTGGCTGTTAGTGTGTGAATGTTCTCTTTTAAATAACTTTGTCATTTCAAGCAAGTATATATCAGATAGTCTTGCAAGCACCAAGATTGTAAGGGTGATTTTCTTTTAAAAAACATCAGTGGTGTTATTTTATGAGTTATTGCAAGCCAAGCAGGAAGGGTATTTGAAGAGTATTTTGAACCTCAAAAAAAAGTGATTATTTTTTGACATTTTAAATGCTTAAAAAACTTCCAGAAGGAAGTATGGAGTGCATCTTCATTCCCTCCTAATGTCAGAGTTGTGGGGTTTGTGTTAACTTTGTTTTTTACAAGTTCATGAGAAAAGTATGTAAATTCCAAGAATCAATACTGTGTTCTCAGAAACAGTGACCCTCATTGGTCTAATGTCCCTATATCACTGGACTCTGGGGGACACAAAGACTCCTGTAACACTTCAAAGCTGCTGACTGAGTCAACAAGTGTTCTGGGAAAATGCAAAATTGAAATTCTTCTCTAGCCTTCCCACCAGGGCTGACCTAGACCCCTAAAGCAAGCTAGTAAATTCCCACAGGACCTGACACCAGAAGAAGTGCTGCCAGAGGCTAGACTCTGTCTACCTTTGTGCAGCTTAAAAACAACTATGAAAACTGTAGTCCTCCAGTGTGCATCAGGCCAATAAAATCTCCATGTTTTGGAGGGGCCTTCCAATCTGAAGTATCGTTCCCTAGGCACCAGGTCCAGTCCGTTTCTACGATATGTAGAGTTGTACTTGAAACTGCAACTTGGCATTCAGAAATCACAGACCTAGTCAGAGACAACTGAATGGAGAGAATTTTAATTAAAATTTATTAAATCTGAGGCTGGGGTGTGTAGCTCAGTGGCAGAGCATTTGTCTTGCAGGGGCACGGCCCTGGGTTAGATCCCTAGCACCACCAAAAGAAATTTTCATGTAATGTTCACTTGAGGCTTCTCGTGTTTATATCTGTTTACCCCACTGTCAACATATTTGTCTATATTTTGCAGGCTTTATCACCAGGAGCTACATAGAAACCCAGAATCCCTAATCTAACTATCACAGGGAGCCTGCTTCCCGGCCTCCCTCCTTCTCCATGATAGCCATAATATTCAAAATGGTAATATTCAAAGCACTGTGGAGAGACCCGGCTTCCACAGCCCTTACTCTTCAACTCCTCAGCAACAGTTACTGTTTTTTTTCCTGGGGAAAAAATTAAATCAAAGGATTTTAACTGGCCCTAGTTGAAAAGAAATGTAGGTTGCAGGAATAAAGGGACACATGCTCTTGTTGGAAGTAA